AGGTACCGAGAGAATCACGGATGATGAGCACGATTCTTTTCCAAATTTTTCCTCATTTTCCTTGAGACAAATCCCTTGACAGTTTTCTCTGCGACCGGTTTTGGATTTCCTGCAAAAACGACATTTCACTTTTTGAATGAGAGTTTTGGTTCTTTAAACGAGTGCTTGCTACCGTGTAAATATTCCGTGTTTTTTTTCGGCAAGGACACAATCGCGCTGCGCTTTCTTTCTTTGACCTTTGAAGAAGAACAAACTCTGAATTGTCCTTTTCGCAAATTATGCAGACAGGACAAAAGGCTTTCGATTTTTTTTCCAATTTTTAAATTTTTAATTGGAATTTTTAAAATTTTTAAATTGACTCGGCCTCAATTTTTAAATTGACTCGCGTTCAGAAATTACATCTCGAGAAAATTCGAACGTAAGGCCACCTCGGCCACCTCGATCGGGGGCGACGCCACCTTAACCCTTTCAGACTGGATTTAAGGACACTATTGGAATAATAAACTATTTGTTTTGTTTTTTTTTGTTGCTTTTTTCTATTCTGCTTCAAGTTATTATGTTCTGTATGTCGTTTTTGTGTTTTGCATAGATTTACCATATCATACCAAACATTATATATCATAAATGTATTAATATAATTGCACCCATTGTATGGGGCGCAAAGTCACCAGAATCCCGAGAAATTGTCATAGACGCAATGAATATGCAATTTCCGTTGGAATGGACTTTCGTCTGAAAGGGGATGATCCGCTGCGGATATCCGCTGGATACCCGCTGGATATCCGCTGCGGGCGTAGAGAAATCCACTGGACAACTCCGAGGTGGGAGGAAATCGGGAATGAATCATGCCGAAATCTTCCGAGGATAAAGTTACCAAAGCAAGAGCTTTGGTAGTCCAAAGCGGTGCGATCATTTCGGCCATCACTAATTTGGCCAACCACCCCTAATTGTCGCTCGAGAAGGTTCAAATTCGTTAAGATGCTTTGAATTTTTGAAGAGAGTGGAAAACTCATCGGTGTGCGAAGTGCTTAAGCCAGTCTTCCCGACGCCGAAGCGATTGTAGATATCGGTGCGATTTTCACGCCGAGGTTATATCAGGCTTCACTTGGGATGAGTTGTCAAGTCGAGAGACTTCAAGTCGAAGAAAGTTCCGCAATTTCTTGGGACAGAGTGGAGATTCCGGGGGGGGGGGACTGCGATGGGTTCACTGCCGGGTGAAAGGAATCCGTAGGATTGGCATGAATATCGAAGCCGAAATAGGAAAAAAAAAAGCATCAGAATACAGGGTTAGGGATCGACGGATCACCGACCGGTGATGAATTGAAAGAGTTCAACAATGCTGAGAACGGTGTCGATATAGGTCGACGAGTCGAATCGGTGATGGTCAGGAGGTCAGCCTCCTGCTCGGCCTCCAGCCAGCCTCCTGTCCCTGGGTCGCCCCTTGATGGGCGATGCGGCCCACGACGGCGGAGTGGAGTCCGGTTGCTACGACGAACCCAGTCGCCTGTCGCGCCGACTGACAAATGCTGATGAATGCTGACGCGTGCTTCGACCGACCCGTGAAAACGGGACGAGATCGGCGACTCCTGGGGTTTCGCGATTTTCTGCAAGACAATTTCCCTGTCTTTATAGATTTCCAAGCCTCCTCAGGGAAAGAGGAAAAGTGGCCTTCCCTGCAGCTCGCCTCTGACCATTTCATCTCTTCCCCAAACGGCCTCCCATGCCCTCTCGTATTTCCTCCCTCATCATTCCCCCATATTTCACCTAACATCCTTTCTTTCCTTTTCCGCTGGCACCCCGTCGGCTATCAAAGGAGGAAACCGTCGGCACCCGGCGTGACGCATGCGATAACGAGGACGCACAATCTCGGGTCCAGGGCGACACCACGAGCCCGGGACCGACGCGCAGCGGGGGCGATTGCGTCGCTTTTTTTCTCGTCGGGGCTCGGTTCAAGCGGAAATGGCCAGTCTCTGCTGGTTCTAATTTGCATCGTGTGGTGGGAGATGAGCTTCGATTCAGCTTCCCATGTCAGTTTCCCATGTCAGCTCCCCATGTCAGTTTCCCATGTCAGTTCTCCACGTTCCACGTTCACGTGGCGAGGCGCACCTTAGCAGCACACCAACGTTGTGCAACCTGGTGACAATTTTGGATTCTCACATATGCGTCGTGGGCCCCACGTTCGTTCCATACTTTGGACCTTTGTAGGCTCGTCCCTTGCACCCACATCGAGAAAACACGGAGAAGGTCTTCTCCTCGAAGGTCTTCTTCCGAGGAATTCACTTTCCTCACGGAATTAGAATACCATCGTGATATCGTCCATCGCTCATCGAGTAATTTTCCCCGTCTGGAAGTGCTTGTCATGTTGGATTCCTTGGGCGATGAAGCGACTTAACAATAATCCTCACCGCCCAGCCCCCATCGAGTCGGGCTCAAGTTTCGAGGAGGCGTTTCTGGGCATTTTTACCTGCTTAAAGAAATGGATTGAGAAATTCCAGGGTCTTCTCCATTGGTGTCTGTGAGAATAGATCAGGTACCGTATGAATGGTACTGAAGTACTGGAGACATATAGCGAGTCACTATTAAAATAATAAAATATTGCCTACTTTGGCGCCATCTCGTTACATTTATGGGAATCTTGTTTGTTGGAATAAGTGAGATGGACGGCTTGCACGGGGCAAACGTTGGCCGCAATAGCGCCGATGTGGGCTCACGCAATCCCACTCACAGCCAACGTGGGCGCAAAGCGGTGTGCTTCCTACGTTACAGTAACGTTTCCTACATTAAAAAGAGGAGATTCAGAGAATGATACCGAGGCCGAAGAAGTCATGAATCTGACATAACGCCGAGATATCCGGCGACACCGGAGGACGGGACCGGAACCATTGCACTAAGCATTAATTAACGGCATCGAATCTCATTTTTGATGGCAAAATGGAACCCTAAAAGCCAAAAAAAGGGGAGTTCAAAATGTTTCATTTAGTACTTCACTTTGAATAATAATATACTAGCCGTCGATTGCGATTGAGATTGCCACGCTAGATATTCCCAAGAACTAATGAAGTTTAATTCTTTTCAAAAAGGGTTGAGAAGAGAAAAATGAATAATCGGCTGTAACAATTGACAAATGCAATACAAGTAATCATTATTTATTTATAAAAGACGATAATGCAGGGCGAGAAAAATACAACTTTCATGAAGATGAATAAATCAATAAATTATCAACCTCTGATTCTTGAAATATTGACGCATTGACAATACTTAATATTCATAGAGGCACGCGGCTTTGCAATCTACGGCTTGAGGATGAACTGGGCTCCTCCGCCGCCACCGGCAAGGTTTCCGAGTCCTCCGCCACAACCACCGAGGTTTCCAGTTCAAATGGCTCCACCAGAAAGGTTTTCAAGACCTCCACCTTCCCCAACAAGGTCTCCGAGTCTTTCGCCGCCACGAGCAAGGTTTCTGGGTACTCCAACTCCACCATCATTGTCCTCAGTTCATCTGGCTCCACCAACAAGATTTCCGAGTCCTCCACCCGAACCAACAAGGTCTCCGAGTCCTCCACCTCTACCTGCAAGGTTTCCTAGTCTTCCACCTCCTCTAGCAAGGTCTCCGAGCCCTTCGGCGCCACAACCAAGGTCTCTGGGTACTCCAACTCCACCACCATTGTCCTCAGTTCATATGGTTCCACCAACAAGATTTCCGAGTCCTCCACCCCAACCAACAAGGTTTCCGAGTCCTCCACCCCAACCGACAAGGTTTCCTAGTCTTCCACCTCCTCTAGCAAGGTCTCCGAGCCCTTCGGCGCCACAACCAAGGTCTCTGGGTACTCCAACTCCACCACCATTGTCCTCAGTTCATATGGTTCCACCAACAAGATT